TATTCTCATTTTATATGTAAAATATAAATATATTAGGACCGTAACTGTTCGTAAAACATAAAATAAATATTATATAGATAACATCCTTAATAATACTTCAATTTATCACCAGAGACCGCCACCTCTCGGATTGAAATTCAAATGTAACAAATATTTATATATATATATATTTTACAATTTTTAATTGTATTTTTAAATAAATCTATATTCTGAATGTAGCATATGAAATATTATTTTTATATTATTATTATACATATTTATATGTTAAATTTATATGAAATAACAATTTTTAACATTGCTAAAATAGTCATGTAAACAGGTCTCATGTCATGAGGTTTTATATGGTAATTCAAGATGGAAGACGGTGAAAATAAAGCGGACGTTGGGCTGGATAAAGAGAAAAAGTCGTATGCCGGAATACCGGAGGCCGAATTTGTAGTAAGTATATTATTCTAGTAAAAAATTTACATGATATATTATTATAATATTGTTATCAATACATAAATTTAATGTATTACATTATATTATGATATATATTTTTACAAAGGAATAATCCTCGTGATTATCGATAATTCCTGTAAAATTTTATCAAATAAATCTTGTGAAATTTATGTAATAAAAAAAAGATAAAAATTTTTTTCTTTTATTTTGATATTTTTTATATTAAATTTTTACTTATTAATATAATATATAAAAATACACAATACTTTTTCGCTATGTTAACCGTATATGGTCACAAAAGAGATACAATATTCAAACATAATATAAATATATATTATTATTTTCATAATATATATTATTTATTTTTATTTTAATACTATTTTAAAATTTTTATACAATTTTTTAATATAGGACGATGTCGACGCTTTCATGGCGAGACCTGAAAATGAATCAGCAGATAAAGTGTTACAAAAGTTGGATGAAAACCATGGCAAATATAAATTTATGGAATATAATTTATTTAATAAAAGAAGACGTCTGAAAGCTCAAATTCCAGATTTAGAAAGATCATTAGAAATGATAAAAAAATTACAACAAGAGAAAGACAAAAGCAAAGAACTAGAAACACAATTTCTTTTATCAGAACAAGTTTATGCAAAGGCTGTTATTCCTCCTACTGATAAAGTGTGTTTATGGTTAGGAGCTAATGTTATGCTAGAATATACATTGGATGATGCACAAGAAATGTTAACAAAAAATATTGAAGCAGCAAAGAGAAATCTAGGTTATGTAGAACATGATTTAGACTTTGTGAGAGATCAATTTACTACAACAGAAGTTAATATGGCTCGTATTTATAATTGGGAAGTAAAACGCAGACAAGCTGCTAAACCAACATGAAGGCTGTTTTCTTAATAAATTTAATGTGCACGCAATGAATGCCTAAAACTCAAAAGGTAACTATAAAGAAAAAAATAAATGCAAAATGAATTCACATATATCATTATTTATTATATAATTTTAATAATATATAATATTTCTGTTCTTTTTTAAAGGTTACTTACATTACACTGTCAAATGAAAGAAGAGCCTGTGAATAAAAAGTACTGTCAGAAATTGTCAATGAAATGAAGAACTCGAATACCATTTAGGTTATAAGCTAGATACACCAATATTTATGTATATTGTCACAAATACATCTGAATTCTAACTTCATATGTTGTTTTGTGTATTTATAATAAGATTATTACCACATTTATTATATTAAACTTAATTGACTTATTTTGATATTTTTGAAAAAAAAAAATACAACTTATATAAAAAACAAAATAATACATTATATTTATTAATATCAGAAATATCACAAACCAAAAAATTTAATTTGATTTTTACTTTCTAATTTATCATCCTGTTTGTATATTTTAATTACAAACTAGATCTTATGTTATAAACACGTATAATTTTGTTAAAAAACAATATAAAAAGTAACATCTATACTTTTGTGAACATGATAAGAAATAGACTTATAACTAATGGAATTTGCATGAAACTTAATTTATCTTATGTTTTAAACTGTATCAGAAAGTGATTTGCTATATCTATTTTTAAGGCACATAGTCGGTCTGACTTTCTGTAAAAGTCAGTGTCCAGCAGGGACTAGTATCCTATTATAACTAAATCTTTGTGAATTAATCTGTTCCTTCATCTGCTTCATATTTCACCAACTTTGTCTTTAACTCATTGATTTTGGCTTTAGCTTCTTCTAATTCTTTTTTTAATGTTTGTACTTCCACATCAACTTCTGTGATGCCTCCTAGATTTAGACGAATATATCTATGATATTATTTAGGAAATTATTTTCTAATAAAAATATTAACTATCATTGATATTTTTGTATCATAATATGAATGTATCAACTATAAATTTTAAAAGGATACTCTAAAGCATCATCTGGCTTTTCTGGTTCTTCATATAAAGACACAAGTACTTTCGTAAGAGCATCCATCACTCCTGCTCTTTCCAGATATTTTCTAAATTCTTCTCTTTTAGAATCAGGTGGCTATAATAAATATCGCAAAAATTAAAAATAGTAAAAATTAATAGATTTATAAAATTTACTAAATTATACGAATAATAATCAAACACTTTGAATCAATAATAGATGCAAAAGATATTGCATCGCCATCGTTGAAGAAATTATATTAAATAAGAATGTATAGATTCAGCATTACCTTGAAATTCGACATTTTTATTACCACAAATTATTACAACAATACTTGGAAAATACTATTTTAGCAAATAGTTCAAAGAATTTCCGACAACACGTGTTTGATAAATCACACAATACGGAACAGATACAAGCCTTTATGACGCTCATTCAGAACAAATGCCATATGATATACGCGATTTTCAAAACAATGAATGTACGAAACAATTTTTAATTAAAAAAAATCATCATTTACCATTTTGAGATGTGAATTCAATATATAGTAACAGTTAAAATTAATTTCTCTTTCTTTTTCACTTTGTTTCACAAATACAATTTACGAAACTTGTGTACTTTCAATAATAAACTTCGAATGTCACAATTTATTTTGATCGGAAACACTATAATCAAAAAAGTATTCCGTTTGGGCCTATATCTGATGCCATTCTAAAATTTCATGTCATAAGATTTAAATAGTTAGAAAGTTAGTTAAAAATATTTTCTCTCATATAATAAAGAATTATGAAAAAAATTATAAGCACTTAATTAAAGCAAAATTTGATTTTATTTAAAAAATATATTAAATTATTGATATAAATTTAGCTAAAATAAAATATAATGAGAGATATCATACACACACTATATAAAAGCATTGATTATTCAATATGGCGAGGTAATGTTTGTAATATAATTTTTCTTTAACTTTTTATAAATTAAAGAAAAAAAGCTTGAAATTTTTTTTAAAAAGTTTGTTATGATGTTTTTGGGAAGAAAAGAAGTTTTTTTAAGAATAGTGCTAACTGGTGCCATAGGTATTTGTTCGTTCATTGGTGATCAAGGATTGAAACATGGAAAGACTGCCATGACACGCGCGATTTTTGACAATGTCACTCACGCAATTGTTGGTGGACTTACTTGGGCAGTTATCTTAAATTTGTCAAAAAAATCTCTTATACAAAACTTTTCAAGCATTTTCTTGTGTTTTTCTTTGTCGTCTTTTATCGATATAGATCATTTTATTGCAGCAAACAGTTGGAAGTTAAGTGTGAGTGATATCATAACCTTTTATCGTTTAAATAATCACGATATCTTATTTACAGGGAATGATAATGAAATTTTTTTCGTATAAATATGAAAATTGAAAATTTTGTATTGATAATTATATATATATCATTATATATATATATATTATAATATTTTATTATATTTCATATTTCAAAAAAATATTAATTATAACTTGATATAATGATATTTATATAATTTCTTACAGGATGCAACACATCTAGAAAAAAGACCATTTTTTCATTGTACCACTCTACCTATAACATTATGGCTTATGTTAAACTTTTATTCAAATGTATTTAATCATCCAAAATTCAGTTATTATTCTTGGATAATATTAGCAAGCTTTCTAAGCCATCATATAAGAGATGGTACAAGAAGAGGTTTATGGTTTTGTCCCATTGGATCTACACAACCTATTCCATATTATTTATACTTAACTATGAGTATGATGCTTCCTCATGTGTTACAATGGTTGATGGTACCATCTATGCATGAATATAAATCTTTAGATAATGAAACATTAATTGATATTGTGTAAATAGTATAAAATAAATATGACTAAATGTGTATAAATGTATATATATATATGTGTACAAATATACATGTATATATATCAATGTAATATAATTTTTATATTAATATCATGTATTAACATTTTTTATAATTTATATTTTTAATCATATTTATTACAAATAAATATTTCATTTTTATAAGTTTTTATAAAGTAACAAGGATTATAAATATAATAATATTTTAATTTATTTGATTAAGAAGAATAAAAATAAAAAATGTTTCAAGAAATATATTGTTTTTGCATTATAGCAAACAATTGCGTAAACAATTTGACCTAATTAAAAATGCAACTTTTATATTTATCATTAAATGCATAAAAATAAGCATAAGATATCAAAACAGGAAAAACTTACATATATATATATTAAAAAAGAATTCGTCGCGTCCATAATGTTTACATACTTGTTTCCAGAGACAGGTGTGCTCAGTAAACGAGCATTGTTCACGTATGCCGGTGTCTTATATCGTGTATCTCTATACATAGATCCATGTTCTATTACGATATAAAAATTTAACGATACCCACGTAAATATATGCGTGCTGGTGTAATACGTAGGGATTCGAGTGAACGCGGAGGACGCAGATGCCCTTGCAAGAAGTCAGCCGCGCGCACACGTGTGTACACGTACACCTTCCACAAGTTGGAGGGGTTTATCAGCATTCAGCATTGCTTTGCTGGCACTGTTATACACTTTACTTCACTCTCGTCCCGCGATCTTATATTAGTGTTCATTTACCTAGTCACCTATTCTACCGAACAACGATGGTGTTTACGACGGCGTTCAATGAATTTTAAAACAACCAATCTCGTGATCGAAAGTTTCACCTGTGTTATTATCTTGCTATCTCTTCCGTGTTTTCACCATTTGATTTTTGCTACGAGAAATTAATTTTTCGTTCTGGAGACAGTTTAGTTAGTGAACAATTATCGCTTGTTAGATGTGTTATTCAAGGAATTATCGATGACATTGAGTTACACTATCTTCGCTATGTGATATTCTCTTATACATAATATTTTTAAAAATTTTTGTTGAACGGGAGCTCTACAATGCCGCCAGGTTTTCGCAGATATCACATCAACTATGATAATGCGTTGATACCGATATCTTGATCGTGTGTATACGCCAGTCCAATATTGTCTCCAAGGAGGTCTCGTGTCATATTTGCTACGTTTATATTATATTTATCATGGTAAGTACACATTGTTCAGATTTTTCTATGGATTGTATTCAAACCGTTTCTGATATCTATGAAATACTATGATTCCTGATCATAAATCGTGTTTCAGTTAAAATGTCAAATATTACAAATCATGTGATATAATTTTGCTTTAATTATATGTACATCAAGATTGTCGTTCGTCTTATTATTGTAATGAATGGTTAGTCCATCTATCGACTAATTCTGTCATACATAATTATTTCATGTATTATTGTTATGTTGATAAAACAATAATAATTTTATTTAGAGTGATTTTACATACTTAGTTAATTATTTTTTTTTATTTAAATTTTACAATTATTGTTACTTATATACATATGTATATCTAATGCTTTCACATGAAACGAGGCTAATCACAAAACCATAATAAAGCATGTTTTGTAATAGTAATTACGACCACTCGAACGGATGCCTATTACAGATGCAACAATGTTCAAGGTTGAACTGGCGTAAGAAGAATCACTGGAATTATACGATGAAAGTGATTTGCTGATGATATTAACAATTCTATTACATTCAGCATAAGATAATGACATTCACAGTATTATGCATTTTACCATTCATACGAATTCCGAACGGTTTGCATGGCAAAACAAGCTTATGATTCGTAAATTTCCTGTTTGCATTCAATATATTTATTAGTTTTTATGGCATCAGACGCGTTAATCGCATATTACGAAATAACGTTTCGAGGAAGTGCAAAGCAACCATGCGTGACAAAGATTCTTTCACATTCTTGCATTCTCGCTATTTCCATCTTTGTTACGCCCTTGCTGTATTGGCATATTTCGAATTTTTCTCATCAAAAATAATTCTTTAATCGTTTGATGGATTTTTATTTTAAAAATAGTTTCAAAGTAATTGTATTAATTGTTAACGATACTTAAGAATTTATAAAAGTAGTTTCTTATCAATAGATTTAAAATTAAATATTTAATTTTCTAGGAAGCCGATGAGTTGGTATTGTATTTTGCTATAGCAGGTGGGATTACTGCTGGTGCTTTGCTAGTGCTGTTCATTTTAGTGTGCGTACTGTTTGTCAAAGTGAATCGATTATCAACAGACGGGTAAGTACATAACTTCTTTCATTCGATAGCATTTCTTTTTTTTTTCTTTTGTTTGCAAGAATTTATTCTTAATTTTCGCTTTTAATTTAACGCTATTAAGCTTTGCTTAAAACGTTGAAATAAAAAGAAATGAATGCACAGCAGGCTTTGCTTGTCGAATGATTTAGTTTCAACGTATTTTAATTAAAATATTTGACGGGTTTTTTGATTAAACTTGATGGATAGTGGCATAGCTGGCGTTTCATTTTGTTGGGACGAGCCACGTTCTCGACGAACTAGGAATCCGAATAAGTCACGTAAGATTTACATTCTAAAGAGCAAATATGATTGTCGACTCGTGGTAATATTGGGACGTGCGAATGAAAAAAAAATTAATTCATGACTCATTACGGCATCGATATCGTATCTTTGCTGCGAGCAAAACGATTGTTTAGCTTATCTTAGTAAAAGAATGTGTAATGGATATGGGGATTAAAACAGCTTGTACTAAATTCCTCTTTCTTTTTTAAAATTATTTTTCTACTTCCTTTTATAGATATTTTAATCATTTTTTTTAATTCAATTCATGAATCTTTGGAATAAAGTTAGAATTTGCTTTTAAATATATTAATTTTTTTTAATTCCTAATAATAATTATTTTAACAAATCGATAAAAATTGTTCAGGTCCAATCAACTGAATAGACAAACAAGTATGATGGCAGACTTTTGTTACACGAATCCCACAATTGTACCAGGAGAATTACTATCACGTCGTGGATTCTCGATGTACAGCGGTTCCGATAACTATAACGATGATTATGGAACAAAAAAAGATCATCATTTTGGCACTTATCACGAAGCACGATCAAAATTTTGACTAAAATCAATAAGTTTGAATGACAGACTGTATGCATAACTTATGTAATTTTCGATCATATACCATACTAAAGGATTGATTAATTTTGTATAATAAATTAAAATTACGTTATTTATCAGTTTATAAGATATAAGACTTACATAAATTTTTAATTTTCATCTGCCATAAAAATTTGTTTATATATACATAGTTATTTATATATAATATGTTAAAAAACGAACAAAATTATAGAAATATAAAAATATAATTAATTAATATATTTTATAGATAAATAATTAATAAAAAATAAATTTTATTTAGATATACTTTATCTATAGATGATAATGTCTCGCAAAACAAAAAATCAACTATGTAGTACATTCAGTTGCCGGTAGATTTCGCTATATGCATTAGTCGCTCAGGGAAATAAGTATAAAAAGAAAAAAAGCTATTGAAAATCAGTAAAATTAAATATAGTAGTTCACTTGCTTAATTAAAATAACTACTAAAAATTGTTTCTATTATTTATTTCTTCAATAATTTATTTTTTATTTTTACTTAACAGTGATTAAATTCCAAAGATATTCTCTACATAAAATAGCATTTGTTTTGTTTGTAATGTATATTATTTATAATAAATATTATTATGTTTCTTAATTTTATTGATTATTCATTTCATTTATACATTACCGTTTCACATATCATTTATACATCATCGTCTTTCTTTTTTTTATCGAAACTAATTTAATTTTGTTCATTTTATTAAAATATATATATATATTTTTCTATTGCAATTGGAGAAATTAATATTTTCAAAGTTTATAAAATCATGGAAAATATTGTACATGATTTTATTAAAATCGATTTTATATATAAATCATTACATATTCTACAATTTAGGGTTAAATTTCATCAATGAATTATACATTATATTTATCCACAAATTGTATATAATCCTATTATCGTGCATTTCCATTAATGTCCACTTAACTCTCGAACAACGTGTGTGTTCCAATAATTATTCTCTTGCGATCCGATGTCACTTCAGAAATTGAACACCACCCTGGTATTCCGATCCCTCGAGGGTCTTCGATACCTTCCACTCGAATCACAAAAAGAATCGATGAATAAAATTTGTATCGATACCTAATGAGAGCGCCAAGGTAGAAAAGTTCCTTGTACACTGGCGATCCATTCTCATCATCTAAATTTAAATACCAAAGAGATGAAGAAGAGAGTAAAACAAAATTAAAATTTTTATTATTAATAATTTTTATTTATTATAAATATTAGAAACGAATCCAAGAAATGATACGTCCAGATACATATAAGGAAAATTTACGAGTTGGTATAAGTGCTTGCACCAGGTACTTTGCAGATTTCTTTTTAGAGCGGAAGTGGAGCACCTTCCGACCGATATACGCAACATCGTCAAAGTGGGTGGCGATGAGGATGTAGGTAGGGATACAGACGATGCTACGGGGAGTAGGCAATAGCATGGGGATAGGCCGTAATTGGTATAAAATCATCGAGCAAACACATCGGACAAGACAGCCTGAGGGTTGTGGGCGGCGTTACGTGCCGTTGCCTTGGTAACCATGGGGCGACTCTGCTAAAGCACCCCTTCGCCTTGATTGCGCACAGGCCCATCCGTTCATGTGTACGTATGCTATGTTACTCATGAATGTGTGTTAGTGTTGTGCGCGTACTGCATGCAATCTATACATGTATATATATATATATATATATATCTACAAAAGCGCCACCTACCCTCGTCTACATGCCAGATTTACAAGACGCGTACTTACACGATTCACTTTTTCACTGTTACGCGATTCCTGTCGACTCTTTATATATGTGAAACTATCCATAATCATTGGCATACCACCGCACACGAGATCGGTTACCGTTCTTTAGAAAATATCTCGAGCTTTGCGGATATACCGTGAAGATTTTATCGAGAATTTATGTTATTACTTCGTGGTTGTCGATGAAATTTATATTCTAATCAGACTTTTAAAACAATATAGTTTGCGATAATTTTTATACAGAGTTGATATAGCATAAATCTATTTTTCAAATAATTTATTGAATTGAATTATGGGTGTTCAGAATGAACATTGAAATAAAGATTATAGGAGTGTGCTATTAAGCTCTACCCCTTAATAATAAGCGAATATCGTGCCCTCTCTATTTAGATACCTTTATATAAGTGTTTCCACCGGTACACGCAACTTGTCGAGTGTTTAGTTTAACCGCACCCCGTGAATCCGCGTTTATGCTACTAATCAGACAGGATTACGGTCAGTTTCGTCCTATCCCTCGTAAACCATGCCACGAGACATATGTTATTCTTTGAGCGTTCAATCGCAACATACCATGTTATTCTTTCGTTTTCTAACGAATAATACGAAAAGATTAACAATAAGACCCACTGCACGTGTCAGGGAAAACGTAATCTATTTCAAACAAAAAAAAAAAAATACTATTTACACAATAAATTTTCATTTTTAATTGTTTTTACATATATATATATATATTTATAATTCCAGATTTTTACTTTATATTCGATTAAATATCTCTTTCATCGTGCATAGTTTCGTTGCTTTATCATCGGTTTCTTACACAATGACGGCAACTTTCTGCGTTGCCACAAGATACAGGTCAAGGACGTATCAAGCCTTAGGCCTTTGAAATTTCTAACAACATAATTTTGATGATGCAAACGTTCAAAAAGAGACTATTATTGTATCCCCCTATGTCTTGACAAAAATCAAGAACTGTTCTGACTTTCAACTCTATTAAAAAATAAAACGTACGTACGTATAATTTTTCTTTTTTTTTTACATCATAAATTAATTTTATCTAGTATAAAAAAACCTCATCAATTATCTTCTGTTCCAGATACTGTTCCGTTAATCTTGCTTGAAAACGTCGAAACATCGTCTTTCCTTTCCATCGCGTTACACTTCAAATTCATTTCCCGGCATCAGATCACATCTAACAAGTGAAACTCCAATTTTCACAATCGTTCTGTCAAACAGTCGATCACGCGCCCCTCGATTTTGGTCAAATTAAAGCGCGTTCGATTCTCCGCTCGGCTTAATGGCGGTCAGCGTCGAGACGTCGCCGTCGGGAACGGGACGCATCCCGCGACGGGTGATCGCGCAATTTTACAGGATCGTGGCTGCGTCACATTCGTTGGCCGAAGAATTTAACGAGGCGCACGCGACTCGCCCTCCTCCGAACCGATCACCGGTTCCAGTCACACACGCTCGATAATAGCGGCCCTCGTGAATGTGAACACCCTTATCCAATGTGTCCTCGTTACACCGATCTCACGGCTGATGTATATTCATGGACCTGTCCACGCACATCGAATTGGAATCAAGAAAATGCCAACTATCTCTCATCGTGTCTATTGAGTGGTTAGTTCGATCGTGGAATGATGGATTTTGAATAATGTACGATCAAATCTGGATTGTAGAATGGTGTTTGGTCAGGAACTTTGGTTTCAGACGATAGATCTGGAAAGATGATATCCACGAATTGACGACATCGGATCGACTAAATCTTCTTATTGAAATTGTCAAGAATATTCTGGAACGAGAAGGAATCTTTAGAAGAAAAAAAAAAAAATTTGAAGAATAAAACTCGATAGGAAAATCGAGGCATGGATAATTCTTCGTACACAGAGTGTCAGCTATGCAAACCAAGGCAAATCTTTTTAAATTTTTTAGTTCTCACAGAGTTGAGCGGTCGACTTTTAAATCGCACGATCTCAACGTGATTTTGTTCTCGAACAGAAAAATTAGTGACTCGTCCAGTGTGGAACCTGTCTTTTTACACGTCTAATGGCGGAACGAGCGTTCAGAGAACTGTTGGCGATTATAAAGAGGCACGTGGCTCTGTTCATGAGCGAGGCCCCATGCAGGCAAGCACGCGACCACCGAAAGCTAACCCAAGAATCGTACAAGGCACAATTAATTATTGTTCGTGCCGGTATAGTGACAATCGAGGGAACGCCGGAGAAAAACAGGATCGTTGTTTTCTTCTATTTCGTCCGAGGGGTTCAGGGAACGGATGCTGCCAGCCGATCCTCGCCTTTGTCACGGGGATAATTGTCGACCATTTTTGCACAATGGCAAGTATTTTTCTTTTTTATAATAGTAAATATATCTCGCGCAATTTCGTTTCGTTAATAATAATTGTAAATAAATTTCTTGTTTAAGGGAGATATCTTTTTCTATCTGAGAATTAAACGGTTCAAGATGGATGCAAATCATTTATCTAAGAGATCCAACGAGACATTAAAGAGTATTTCCAGCAAGCTCGTAGCTAAGCTTTCGGCTTAATCTCCATAAATTCGTAAGGGAGAAGAAATATATTCGCACTCTCGGTTGAATGTTATCTGCTTTTCGCCGGTCTCTCACAGCGAATTAGATCGAAGGTAATGGGAAATTTTTTTCAAAAAAAAAAAAAAGAAAAGAAAAGAAAAATTGTCTCGTTATTTATTAAAGTAAATCCATCGAACAGGAATAGAAAAAAAACTTCGGTTGCGATAAAGATAAAAAGGTTAAATTCAATTTCATAAATTTTTATCAGAATAAAAAACTTAATAAAACGAAAAATAAATTATAATTTTCGTAATCATCAACGAACAATCTCCTCCAAGAAAAAATTTAATTGGTTTATTTTGATCTCTTGTCGTTTCCAAGTACAATTTCAATTTTGATGAAAGAACGAACTTGACCAATTTTCTGCCAGTATTGAAAGAGAAGGAGGATAATTTGAAACAGAGAAAGAGTGAACAAGAGAAGGAGAAGAAGATAGAGAGGAAGAGAGAGACGGAGAGATAAAGAATTTTAATAAGATAGATCATCAGAGGAAAATATCGATTATATTTTTCTCGTAATAGGTATGCAGCGCGCGCGCTATCAAGTTTTACAATATTTACAACGCTTAAAGTAATTATCGTACAACGCGGTGATCATCGTACCCATCGTTAATTTACATCGATTATAAATAATAGTGTTTCGCATTGGCAATGTGTACACGTGTATTATACATGAGATTAGCCTCGTGGCAGCTAACAGCCTCGAGCGATTGTTCATAAAGTTACTAGAAGTTCAATAATAAAATACTTCGATGATTAAAATGTAACTGGGATTGCCAGAATACTCTATGGTCGTAGTTTATTAAGTATCGGGTTTCAGGGAATCACGCGCGCGGTGTTTAAATAAACGCGCGATTGAGATATTATAACAAAGGTGATATTTGTTCCTTTTTTTTTTCTCTCTCTC